TTGCATAATTAACGCAGCCAAAGGTAGGACAAGGAAGCCTTTTTGATTAATTTTGCAAAAATAAAGAGATATGCAGGCAAATTTAATGTGAGAACACAAACAACACGTGAGAACGCATACGCACTTCAAAGAAGCACTTGTTCCAGAAGAACTAAGCGAACGGAAAGAGAGTCTGTTTAGCACAGACATTCCTTGGAGAAAACAATACGCGAAACAATGCGAAGCGTCAATCATGCCAACTGCATGTACGAAACATCAACCTATTAACCAAAATCCATAAAAGTAGCAATAAAACAACGATGTCAGATGCGACGCTCCCTTCAAGGAAACTAGACAGGAGGGCAGATGAACAGATTCATCAGTCATGACCGGCAGGGGCGAACAGTTTACCACAGCCAACGTTTTCTGCACTAGTTAACACTGAGCATCGACTGTTGCGTTGAGAAGAATCAACGGCGTACAAGGTCCGCAGTTTTCGGTTACGTAAGAGACGACCAACGTAAAGTTGACGCCGACGACGATGCCCAAAACGAGGAAGAATGTAGCTAACATTGCAGCAATGGGTGCCTGTGGTGGCTTCACCAGTCTGAAGAAAAATATTACGAAGAAACGTGACGAAGTAACAGATGGGGACAGAAGGCTTACCGGGGTACGCACATCATTACTAAACTAGAGTAATAGCCGCCGGTAAAAGCCATGAACGAACCAATGAACATGTACAGCCATTCGGAAGTGATGTAGACGGGAAATGTTCTGACCATAGGCTTATAATTGCAAAACATGAACAACGGTATAAACAGAACACGCAGCAACACAGGGATGCACAACCAGCGAGGGCCGGGCTAAAACAGAATAAAGCGAACTGCAAGTCTTGCCACGTTACGGTCAGTCGCGCGACACTTACGAACCGGATCCAGTTAGGAACAATATTTCCAAGGAAAGCGAACACATTGAAAATGAGATATGTCATCACGGGCACAAAATATTTCGCTGAAAAACATATTCATTGATTTAACATAAGCAGAAATCATTAAAACGTCAAGATGTACATAAGAATCAATTACTAAAAAGAAAACTGGGGTCCTTCGCTCAAAATGCCTCATTAAAATCAATTCGAGCTTGTTTCAAAATGACCTAGACAGATAAAAATGTTTCATAAGAGAGCATAGAGCTCATAAATACAGTGTATGCCAAGCACAAATATGCAAACATCACAGAGATCAGGCGACATCGTTCATGACAAAGAATGAATGTTTGGGTACATCATGAGTTAATGAAGATGTAAAGGTATCAGTGAGGTAACTAAGGAATATTCCAGAATTCAGAACATTTTCATTTTGTCTATGATGAGCTGTCAACAACTCCAAGAAAGCAAACATGGAGTGATGTCGATGGAAAGCAGCCAGATTCATTCAGTATCATTCTCTATTCAGATGGTCCACGGTATGAGGCACATTTTCACGGGATCTTCAGGTCTCGTATTGGTCATACTGCATGAACAATATTCAGTTTTGAAAACCATACAGTGATCCTGGTTTTCCTTACTGGTCGATATCGAAGTCAAGTGTGTGCTAATAAATTTTGCAGATATTGGTCATTACTTCTCATGACGAAAAAACTATCGTAGTTGCTGCTCCCTCAAGAATGTAAAGATGGATGAGTGCCAATATGCTTGAAAACATCTTCACTGCACCTAAAGTAGTGTTTTGAATAGATCCGAAATGATGGTCTGTCTAATCATAATTCAAATGCCTTAGTGGTGTTGCGCTCGGTTTTGTCGATGGTCCAATTTAAGAACGCCAAGTCTGCACTTCAACCAAAGAGATCAGAGATTTTACAAGCACCAGCGTGTTGAAACAGAAACTCTGCAAAAATCTTGTGAAGTCTGTCGTAGAAACTTGTGTCATTCGCGGAACGAATCCATTTTACACGCCACTATTCTGTCCAGAACCAAAATAAAGATAAGCTACTGAAAGAAGGAAATTCGCAGCAACTAAGTACGATTTACAATAACCACATATATTAAACAGAACATGAATAGGGATTATAATAGCATTTTATGTCTATAAAGCGTGTGCCCACGAGATTACTGGCAGCAAGTAAAAATAACATACGTGGTAATAAATCAAAAATTGAATATCTACTTAACATTAATCATGAAATGTGTCAATTCATTAAGGTTACAATAATAATAAAAAGCAAATGTTGTGTGAAATCAACAATGAGCGGGAAGCGTTTAAGCGCGCTACAGTAAAGTGCAAAGAAAAAACAAAGAAA